TGGGACGGCGATAAGGATGACAGTGTAGGGGGAAGGGTTAGGGTGACAGTGTGGGAGGGAGGTGATGTGGATATCCATTAAAATACTTTTTTGAGAAGTCCCTGGTGATCCAGTGGTCTGTTATCCTTCCTTTCTCCCTGGTTGTCTGCTGGCTTTTGCTATCCTGTCTGCAGCTCCACCTCCGTTGGCTGCAGACCGTCTCGCGAGATCCAGATCGTGAAGTCTCAGAGCGTTGCCGCGGTAATGCTCTGTGATTGGCCGAGCTCACTGACGGTTACTGCATCGTCTGCAGCTCTGCCTCCAGCAGAGACGAAGCTGCAGACCTGAGGGTGCGCAGGGCTTTCTACCTGTCACAGAGGGGCCCAGCAGACAGCGGCACTCTTTGCAAGCTGCTGGGACCCCTCTTGCTGTCGGGCCCTCCCCGTAGGCCATAGATGCACGGGTTAGCGTGACCCACCAAAAATCAGCCGGGGATCCACCAGTGGGTTGTGACCCACACTTTGGGAAACCCTGCAGGCGCTAATCCGTGCTCTAATAGTTAATCCAAGGTTATGGGTAAAATCCATTTAACCCCTTAAGGACCAAACTTCTGGAATAAAAGGGAATCATGACATGTCACACATGTCATGTGTCCTTAAGGGGTTAAACAGCTTATGTTACTGGCCTAATTCAACATTAACATACAACCCCAGTAAGACCAAAAAGCCCCTCAAGCCCCAGAGAAGTAAGAACAAGGAGGGGAGAGGGCAGAAACCAAGAATAAGGTAAAAGAAAACACAATAAATAACATGGAAAAAACACAGATGCACATGGTACAGAAGCACAGCAAGAACAAACAGAAAAGTATATAAAAATAATAATACAGAAACAACCTCAGAAGAGGCAATAGAAACATAAATTAATAGAGAAGAGCAATACTCTGACCTGTCTGCTTGATGGAGCAGCAAAGAAAGAGGAAGTGATTAGGTCATTACACCTCATGCACATCCTACTCTCTTGTGATTGGTTCTTTATTTTCCATGCGTTTGCTGCTGTGGAGCTAGTAAAGGGAGATTATACAAAATACGAAGCAACCTGTCATGTTGTAAAATTCCAGACTTTAGGGCAGTAATGTTTATATCAGAAATTCCTCTCACCCTCCTGGTTCATTCATTGCATGATAACAACTATATAGTGATATTTGTACTTAGAAACAATAGAAAGTAAACCACACATAATTCAGTTAACATTTGCATGTAAAGCTGGACCATCTACCTAATGCATATTGTAGCCACAAATATCATATAATATAACACAATTTAATGTTGAAATATATTCATACTTTATTATTCACAGTTTTTGTTCTGGACCCAGGAATGCAGAACACGTTTTCATTGATGTGTGCATTACATTATCAGGGTTTTTTGATAAAATGAGAATGATCAGAAATCCATTGTGAATTTCAAATTTAAAGTCAAAGCAGTCAAATTGGAAGCATTGCTGACTTTTTTCCACTTTAACTACTTGTTGCCGTAAATTTGAAATTCACTTTGAATTCTCACTTTAGTAAACAACCCTGTATGTCTAGACTATAATGTGACTTTTATTAGAAAGAAGAAATATGTTTAAATTTTACAAGGTCCTAAATTATGTTCTCTAGGCCATTAAGTCTAGCTATATAACTCATCCACTATTAACGTGAACTCCGTGCAGGTCGAGTCTGACAGGAACTTGAAATGTTCATTTTACAAGACATTGTTTTTCTTGTAAAATATTTTGCGTTGGAAATGTCAGAAAAAAAAATTAACAGAAAAGGGACACATTAACACTTATCTATGTGTAAAGAAGGAACAGAAAGGTCAAAGTATACATGTTAAAGTATCTGTGTGAGTAAAATAAGCATTACTTAGTTATATAGGCTGAAAATAGACTTGTGCCACTCAAGTTTGGCCTTTCTCACATCTGTTGTTTTTCTGTTGATCCAATTTTACAACAAACTAAACACAAAATCATTCTCAATTTAAAGGGACACTATAGTCACCCAGACCACTTCAGGGGTTAAGGAACACAGTATGAAAATGACAACACGTATCCTGGAGGGGTTAACATAACCATTTGAAAGTCTAAGGAGTATCCAACTTAGTAATTGTCTGTTACTCTTATATTATTATACACGTCATCAAGTTTATACACAGCAACAGTGTAGCAGCAGGGTTGTAAATTATGTCATTGTGTGAACCCATTAACTAAAATTTCTACTCACTAATGTAACAAAGCCAGTGATAGTCAAACAGAGCATGCAATCTCTGGGCAGGTCAAATCTGCTTTAAACCTATAATACTGATTTAACAAGATATTCCCTCACCGAGCTAATACATTTCATGTTTGAACTGGTAACAAAAGGGCATGTATGAATATTTATACTAGTATGCATTTTCAGCATATCGAAAATTGAATTGTAACTCCCAATTTAGGGTGGATAATATGATATCTCCAGTGGCAGAAGCAATGTAAAGAGTACCGGGATTCAGGAAATACATTTGTCTGTCAAAATGTGAGTATTAACCAAGCTACTGTATTGCAACAGTGTAATAGGTATGTATTTTAGATTACAACATGGATACAACTAACAAATGTAGATATAAATAATGAATAGAGCTTGTTATCCTTTAGGTTTAGGACAATCTATTGCAAAAAAAAAGAAACCTAAAATAAACGTGGCCATGGCGGTAAAGAGCCACCATTAAGGTGTGTAAGTATCACTTTCACAGCTAAAGGACGTTGCCCTAACTGAATGTTTAGAGAAGTGATCTGAACACCTCCCAACTCACAGGATGGTCTTCTGTATATAAAAGCTCATTCAATTCAAATATATAATAAAAAAATTAGAAGAGAGTTACTACTATTGCAGTAGGTTAAAATATAAATTATACATTTTATATATAAGGAGACAGCACCAGCAGAGACCTGTGAAGACAGACTTTCAGGAATCCTGAAGTCACAATTATGGTATGCTGGTTTTAACTCTGCAATTTAAAGGGTTAAATTACCCTAACTCAATGATAGCAATAGATTATAGATGAATCCTAAAAGGGTTAAGCTCTAGATGTTACATCACTTAAAGACAAAACTAAGTAAACTGAGACTAAGAGACTTAAATTACATTAAGGGATACTGTCTTCGTAGAACGGTATCTGGGGCTGAATCTATAATTAAACTAGGAAATAAAGGGTAGAAAAGCCGACCCTCTATTCTAGTCACTAGCCCATGATCCGATCACTTCTCTTAGCACTCAGTCAGGGTAACTTCATTTACTCATTATAATGGTCTAGATTTCTTATGAATATTAATAAAGTTTGATTATTTTTAAGTTTGATTTCTTTTTTAATAAAGTTTTATTATTTCTGCCCCCAATTGCTTGTGAAGTCATATTTCTGTCTTCATTTGTCTTTAAATATTAATGTAGGGGTCTATGTAGTGTTGGCATTTCAATGCAGTTGTATGTTTGTATGTACTATTTAGAGCAGTGGTGTACTTGTTTGTATTGTTTGCGTCTAAACACAGGGGTTCATTTGTATTGTCGCTTGGTTGCAGTGGTGTGCTTGTATGTAGTTTTGGTGTTTGCATGTAATATTGGTGTTTGAATGCTGTGGTGTGTTTGTATGTAGCATTGTCGTTTGATTGCCGGGGTGTGCTTGTATGAAATGTTGGTGTTTGAATACAGGGATGTGTTTATATGTAGTCTTGGTGTTTGAATACAAACAGGGCCAGCGTGTCGATAAGGTGGCACAGGGCCTTAGGGCGCTGTCTCTGGGAGTGCAAGACTCGAGTGATCAGCAAGCACACAGCATTCCCTCCTACCAGTTACTCAATGTAACGTTGCCATGCAGAGCAGACCGCGGTACAGGAGCTTCTGTTTCCTGTACCTAACCAGTCTGACAGGAAGTGTTTACTGTGAGAGCACTTCCTGTCAGACCAGGTAAAGGAAACAGAAGCTCCAGTACCGCAGTCTGCTTCGCTCGGCTATACTACACAGGGAGATATGAGGCACACCAGGCAGTGGTGTATTCTGGTTTTGTGCTGCCCTAGGTGCCTCACGCGCTGCCGCAGAGTGATGCCAGGAGCCGGAATATGACACCAGGGAGGGGATAGAGGAACAAAAGGGGGGAGGGGATAGGTCCACCAGGGGGAAGAGAGGAACACTAAGGGGAGGGGAGTTGACCAGAGACCACTAAGGGACAGGGAGGGGAGGGAGGCAGAACACTAAGGGACATAGAGGGGAGAGGAACACTAAGGAACCGTAAAGGGAGGAGAGAGGACGACTAAGGGATGGGGGGGGGGGACCACTTAGGGAGGAAGGAAGACCACTAAGAGACAGGGAGGAAAAAAGACCACTAAGGGGACAAGGAGACCATTGAGGGACAGGGAGGAGACCAGACCACCAAGGGACAGGGGCGAGAGAGTCCACTAAGGGATGGGGAGGGAAAGAGGAGACCACTAAGAGACGGAAGGGGAGGGGAGACCACTAAGGGACAAGGGCAGACTGGAAAAGATGACAAAGAAATGGGGGAAACAGGTAAAGAGACACACAGAGGGACCTTGTGGGGAGAAATAGGCACACAGAGGGACCTGGTGGGGAGAGAGGCACACAGCGGGACATGAGAGGGGAGAAAGAGGGAGGGTTTGGCATCTGTGAAGAATCCAAAATGTTTTCCTTTGTGCTTTTGATCTACTTTGAAACGCAGTTGCCTTTATGGTGCAAATAAATGCTATAAACATATACACATACTGATCCAGAAATCCTCATAGGTGACCTGAAGATAATTAGTACAGAAATAATTCACAAACACAAATAATCAGTATTACTTTTGAAATGGCTAAACTAAAAACAGCTTAAAAACTTGTAGGCATCATTTGTACAAATAGAAATCTGATAAACTGTACAACTGATTAATTTATCAAAGAAAGAAAACAAGGGGAGGAAACTTGTTTAATTGTTATATGGCATTTATTTAAATTACCCACAGATCAAAAGTACATAAAAACAATTTTAGAATAGGTTTAAAAAATGTACAAAATGTAAAAACCTTCTTTGAAAAATAAAAATCTAAAACAAAAAAATAGAAAAGTGTGACCTCATAAAAAATATAAACATTCTACATTTTATTATTTACGGACATATGATGATCTTAAACATAATAAATGTTTTTAAGTTGCCACTGCAAATATCCTACCACATGATCCTTTATTTAAAAGGTAAAATAAGGACCACCCTATTTGTTTTATTGTAGCACATAAGTTTTATGGGATGTTGCTGTGGGTGGGAAAGGGCATTAAGCATGCTACAGAACGGGAGAGGAGAATGGGCTACTGATATAAAAAGTAAATGATTTGAGAATATACCCTTTGAATACCCCAAGCCTCTATGTATGAAAATCCACTTCGTTTTCATGTACAAAGACTTGCCGTACAAATATTTCCTTTAACTTCAATATAGAGATTCTCAAATACACAAAGGCAATAACACAAGCACTTCACCAAGTACATTCCAACATTCACTTCCATATGCATCAGTCTCTTTGTTCACAAATGCAGGAGCACACAATATGCCGAGTACACACCATAAAATTTAAAATGCAATATGCATGCTTTTTTGGTGGCATGTAGCATTTAGGCCTACCTAGTAACTTAAGACTTGAAATATTGAGCCATATAATTAATTTTTTTTTAAAAATCCATGTTGATTAAAATCTGTCACATTTCCCATAAACTATGCTAAACTATTGCCTACAGTGTAATTTCTCAATTGTCAAGACTAAAGAGTTTACATGATTATTAACAAAAAGTCAAATAATAGCCCTCTCTTTGAAGAGTTGGCAGAACCTTAAATTGTGTACTTGAACATGTACATCTTATGTTGACCGCAATGGACTGATCTTGAAATGATAGTTTTGTTGAACTTGGGAATAATTTTGAAGGCTGAAGTCTGGATACGTTTTAGTTTTACTGCTTGTTCTAAACATTCAGATACCAGAGAAGTTAACTTTTTGCATTTAAGTGGTGAGTTGGGCAGATTTTAAAAACGTGATCACCCTCAATCCAACAAAACTCTTTGTACAGAATGTTTGACTTTAAGGGAAAATAGAATATTTGTATACTGAGAATGCATGGTCCAAACTAGACCACTGGTTGCAAATGATCCCTAAAACTTGTCAGAACTCGTATATAAAAAAAGACTACTACTTTTCAAACTAAAATGCAAGTGGTATCTTGTATTAAACTGCTAGTATGTTTTAATTTCTGGGTTTGTTTTAAAAAAATCACTCTGAAAGGAGTTTTCTGTAAAATGGCTAGATATTAGAATGCAATAAATGTCAGAATGTCAGATAAGAAGATTTTAGGGGGAACTGTCGAGTTCTTTAAAATAACATTTTGTAAATGTGCTACTCTATCTATATTTAACAGACCCAGATTTTCACAATAATACGAAAACATGATGACCTTTCACACCCCATAGTTATCTTTCAAATAATTTAGAACTGCAGATGTACTAGATAAAACATTAAAAACTCTCTTCTCTTGTTTTGACGTAATTCTCTCCAACATGTAGATCAAGTGATGATGGAAACACGCAAAGGGAGTTCCATGTTCCAAGGAAATATCAATCCAATCCTGAATACAGCTCAGTGGAGTCTCTTCATATCCCGCAAACATAGCTGGGTTAGCAAGGAGTCCCCTGGCAGCCATGACACCTTAAAGATACATGGAAACAAATATAACGGTTAACAAATGTTTAACACCAAAGCAGGGTATATACAATATATTGTTTGTTAATTCCCACAGTAACAATTTCTGACATCATTAGTACAGAACATTTTTGGAAGAAAAAAAAAACAAAAACAAAAAAACAACAAAACACAACAAATGGAGATTTCTACAAATTAGCATAGCATAGCAGTATAGATTCAATACAGGAAGCCATAGTAAAACACTAGAAACATTTCATCTAGATTTTAATAAAGCAATCCACACTGTTGTGCAAAAATAAATTACTCAATAGTTGAGACAGACAGAAAAATTCAAAATAACACAAAATATAACCAAATATTGCATGTGGCTCATGTATACTGGTATATATGAAACAACTATAGAATGTAAGCTCTTTGAGCAGGGGCCTCTTCAACCTATCGTTCCTGTAAGTTTTCTTGTAATTGTCCTATTTATATTTAAATCCCCCTTCACCCCTCTTATAATATTGTAAAGCGCTACGGAATCGTAAAAAATGTACTGTGTGTCAAAAATGCAGAAGAAATGCTTAACCATAAGACTTGGTACAAGCTAGCGATAAAATTATCCCACGCTAAGGTTCAAAATATGCATTTAAAATACCCTAGGGTGTCTTCTTTACGAAATGTTATGACTTTATTGGGTAATTTGAATAAGCAACCTGCTAAAATGCTCCAAAATGGAACACAGACCCATCAAAACCAGAAATTGTCACGTGTCTTTTACAGCACTGTAACTTCACAATATAGTGTCTAGTTCAGGGGTGTCCAACCGCAGCGCAGCCGGTTGCAGTCTGAGTGGCGAGGGCAGAGCTGGATTGGCCCACCGGGTCGTGCAGACAGCTCTTATCATAAAAATGGCATTTAAATTATTTTCCCCTCGGACTGTGACAGCCTGGATCAGTCCGAGGGGATTGAAGAGAGAGGTGCTGAGGGGTGGCTGCAGCCGCGTTTAGGGTGCTGGCGGCCAGAGGAAGCACTGTGAGGCTCCCTTTACAATTCTCGGCAATTCTGTGCTAAAGCCTTGCCTCCTGCACGCAAGCTCAGCCTCTCCCGCGTGCAAATCCCACCCCCAGATACAATCTCTACCCCACATCCAAGCAGGAAAAGGTCAAAAATTTCTCCTACAGTCTTCAGTGCCAGGTAAATTTTGGTTTATTTGTCAGTGTCTTTGTGTGTATGTGACTGCTAGTGAGTGAGCTTTTATGTTTGTCTGTCAGTGCACTTTTCTGTATTGAGCATGAGTGTGTCAGTGAGCTTGTCTGTAGTCAGTTTGCGTATGTATTTTTTTCCAGGTATGCTTTATATCCCCAGTCAGGCCCTGGGCGAGGTAGGCAGGAAGCACTTTACATACTGTGCTCCTCCTGGACAGCTCCCTCCAGGAGTGAGCCGGCCGCCAGGATATGACATCAGTGAGCCGGCTGCCGGGATATGACATCAGTGAGCCGGCTGCCAGGATATGACATCATCCCACCATTGGCATCACTACTGGACACGCGAGGGACTGGGAGATCCCAGCCAAGCAGCAACCGCTAGCCACCAGGAACAGAGGATCAATTCCAGCCATCTCAGAGCAAGGTAGGGAGGCTGGGTGGGTGTACTAAATGTGCATAAATGTAATTTTGTTGTGTCAGTGATTGTGTGTGTTATTGTGTGTGTATTTAAATCTGTGATTATGTGTGTATGTATGTTACTATGTGTATAAGCCTGTCATCGTATGTGTGTGTGGGTCTGATTTCTGATTGTGTGTGTACATCTGTGATTGTGTGTGTGTGTGTATATAGCTCTGTGATTCTGTGTGTATATTTGTAATTGTGTGTAAAGATCCAGGATTGTATGTGCGTGTGAATGTCTGTGATTGTATGTGTATGTCTGTGTGTATATCTGTGATTATGTGTGTCTATGTGACTGTGTATAGGTCTGTGATTGTATGTGTGTGTAGATTTGTGATTGTGTGCATAGGTCTGTAATTATGTGTGTATAGGTTTGTAATTGTGCATGTGTGTATATATATCTATCTATCTATCTGTGGTTATGTGTGCATATACATGTATGTGTTTAGCAGATAGCTCCCTAATTTGGTATCCTTGAATATGGCAATCCCACATAAGGATAACAAAGAAGGGAATTATCTACTAAACAAAATTAAGAAAGGGGGTTTTGAAGTTTTATTATATAAATTAATTATATTATAGATTTTTTTTTTTTTTTTTTAATTCTTTATTTTTGGTATGCAGATAGGTACAACAGTGCCTGTATCGCCACAACAGCATCAGCAGGCTCGATTTCCAAAATAATTTTATAACAGTATTGTGGCATGTAGGGTATGCATACATTTTTTAAATAGGAAGGGTAACGATAATTAAGAGGTCTAACATTCAGATGCAACGACTCGTTCCCACAGGTTATTGACTGACGCCACCACAGCGTGTTGAACGAAGTACTAAGATTAGACAGTGGCTTAAGAGATTACACATGTTATGTAATGGTAACAAGCTTGGTTAGACAGTGAAATCGTTAGATTAAAGTAAAACAAAATAAAATATAACTTAGTCAACGTTGAACAGTACTAGATTAGCTACATCTACATAGGTGTAGAGTGGCAGCACAATTTGCAGTGTATCAGTAGTTGGCTTGTGTGTGATGTGCCTGCAGGTTGTGTTGCGCTTGTGTAGACTATTATGCAATAACAAGCTTTCAGCATTAAGTCTGCCTTCACTTTAGTGTAATAGTAATGTGCCAGTCATGGGCCAGGTGTTGTTAAACTAAATCAGAAGCAAAGCATTCTAATGTAGGGACTTTCTAGTTGTTTTACTATACAGGTGGGAGCATCAGCCAGCGCATCAGAGCAACCAGGTTAGTATATGAACATTACGGTTGCGGCGATCAATGTGGTAAGCCAGCCGTAGGTACTGGCACTGGACCCTCAGCGTTATGTCTCTGGCATGTAGCTCTGGAATCTAGCGGTAAGTCCAGCGTCAGGATCAGCCGATCCCTGTTAACGGCGGTGATAATGGTTGTTTAGGTAAATTCAATATAGAGCGGGATGGAATATATGGCAGCAGCGTGAAATTAAGGGACTCTTTGCAGGTACAGTCAATTGCTCAGCTACCTTTTTAAGCTACTGTACGTCCCAGTTGCGGGGATGGGTACTCAGTCAGCCGATTCCCCTCAGCGGTAGAACAAGCTTGGGAAAGTCCCTGTGAGCAGCAGCCAAGGTGATGTGCGTTGGTTTCTCCTCCAGCCTCTGGCCCATGTGTGGGTAATTGTTGTCAGTCCACAGGCTTGGGTGCTCTGTAGTGCCAGGCCCTTCCCTTGACTGGAGTATGTGTGTGCTTGAGGTGGCCTGCTTTGACTGCGGCAAGAGTTTCTCCTTCACCTCAGGTGGGTGATCGGTTTGGTGGGTAGGCATGGGCAGCATAGTGAGTCCGTCTGTTCGGGCTCTCTGTCTTTGTGGTAAGGGATAGCCGGTGTTCTTGCTGTGACATCGCCGCCAGCGGCGGTGGATTCTCATCCTGCGCGGCGGTTGGCGGGTTGGTAGCTTGGGGGCTATGGCCCTGTCCGACGTGGGGCGCCCCTGTCCTCTACTCCCATCTCCTTTCCCGCATCCCGCCCGCCTGTGCTGTGGTACCTTGCTCTTTTCCCCGTGGGGATGGTGCAGTTCACTCGGTCCCGGCAGGGTTTGCTGTGCTGCCTGAGGAGCATGTAGCCGCTCATTTAAGGCATGCCAGAACCGGGCAAAAGCGGCCTCTAGGCGCCGCATATCTTCACTTTGGGGCTCCATTTCGGGTGTGCAGCATGGCTCACTTGGTGTGCGCGTCGCCGCCATTTTGGGTGCGCCATGTGCTCGGCTGCCATTGTGTCGTGATGTAGCTGGCTCTGTGATCCGCTTAGGACTGCCTCTCCTGTTGCCTGTTGTGGACCGAGATGACCCCCGTCGGTCCAGAGGGGGGGGGGTAGGTGTCGGCAACCCCGAGGGATCTGTGTCCAGGCCAGTCAGCGCAGGGAGCGGCCGTCTCCCCGCTGCTCGACCTCCGACAGGCCTCAGGGTGTGTTGTCGGGTCCCCGGGGGTTACAGGCTTGGTTTTGGTGTCGGGTGATTCCCCCGGGTGTCCCCGTCATTGTAGCTGCCCTACAGTGGGCGATTGTGCCGGTTTTTCGGGGAAATACCCCAGAAAACTGTCAAGTAGAGCGGGAGCTGAGGTTCAGCACAACCGCTCAGTCTGGATGCCAGGCTCCGCCCCCAAGAAACAAGTTTCTATATTATAGATTTTATGTGTGGCCCAAGACAATTCCTCTGCACTCAATGCGGGCCAGGGAAACCAAAAGGTTCGATACCCATGGTCTAGGTCATACATTGGCATGTTGGTTTACTCAGAAGATGTAACTGAGCATAATTTGGCGGATGGTACATATCAAATGTACAAAATACCCTGTAAAAATGCAACATGTATAACTTTGGCATAAATTGGTGAAAAAATGGGGGCAAGTTAAGGCACAATATATGCCATATAAGGAACCCTGGAGTGTCTGCTTCTCAAATGGAAGGCCTATGTGGTGTCCCATCAAATCCTCTATTAAAAATTCTAACCAGAGAAACTGAAATAGCTTGGTCTCTTATATGGCACTGTAGCATCACAGAGTAGTGGCAAAGGCATACAAAGGCATTGTACTTAGCAGATGTAGATGATCAAAAAATCTTTGTCTTTAAGTGTATGTCCAGCTTTTAAAGCTGTGTCTTTAAGGGGTTAAAGGAACACTAAAGTCACTAGAACCATTACAGCTCAATGTAGTGATGCTGGGGCATACAGCCTGTTCGTCTTTACGGTAAGTGCCAAAAAGTAAACTAATGTCCTTACGCGTTTCGTGAGTCTACTGCTCACTTCATCAGAGGATCTGATGAAGTGAGCAGTAGACTCACGATACGCGTAAGGACATTAGTTTACTTTTTGGCACTTACCGTAAAGACGAACAGGCTGTATCTGGAACGCAGGAAGATCGGTGACACGCACGCGGCTCTCAGCATCATCTGCCGGCAGGACCAACAGCTGCTAACACCATACTTTCCCGATCCCAGCTCAGCATATCTAGTTCTTTGCACAATTGTAAGTGTAATTTTAATTTTATTCTGTGGACAATAAATTTATTCATATATAACACAGAAAGCATCTCTGCATTAGTCTCTGCAAGACCGGAGGGATTTTCTTCCCAGTACCGTGTTTCCCCGAAAATAAGACCTACCCCGAAAATAAGCCCTAGCTGGATTATCGGGATGGGCTGCAATATAAGCCCTACCCTGAAAATAAGACCTAGGCAGGGCCGGCAGCTGCCGGCCCTTTAAATGCCTCAGCCGCCTGAGCGCTCTATAGAGAGTGCTCAGACGGCTGCCGCACTGCCTCACCTCCCCTCCCCTGTAGCGTGGCCGAGCTCCTTTCCGGTCCGCAACCCGCCCGGACTGACAGGAAGCGCGCACTGGGTGTGCACTTCCTGTCAGTCCGGCCGGGTCGCGGACCGGATAGGAGCTCGGCCACGCTACAGGGGAGGGAGGGGGGAGAGTATTACAGGGAGGGAGGGGGGAGAGTATTACAGGGAGGGAGGGAGGGGAGAGTATTACAGGGGGCGAGAATATTACAGGGAGGGAGGGGAGGATATTACAGGGAAGGAGGGAGGAAGGGGGGATAATATTACAGGGAGGGAGGGGGGAGAGTATTACAGGGAGAGAGGGAGGGTCTCTGGGGGGGTTACACAGCGCGGACACCGGCTGACAGACTGGCTCTAAGCCCTACCCTGAAAATAAGCCCTAGTGTGTTTTTTGTGACTAAAATTAATATAAGACCCGGTCTTATTTTCGGAGAAACACGGTATACTGCAAGTCACTAATCATGACCTGCTAGCAATTATCTTTTCCTTTTTTTTTCACAAGTACATTATTATATTTGCTAATTACTATTGCTACAATCAAATATATCTGTGCTATACTAAGCTAGCTAATTCAGCATCTATTATTCCAGTTTGTCTATAACTGGTAAAAGCTGTAACAGCTAACATTATTTACAGACTGTTATGAACTCTCATTCTAAATGATACAATTGTATCAATACAAGAACATTCTGTCTTACTATTGGATTTATTGCACAAGCATATTCATATCACTTGTTTTATATATGCTCTCCATGTATATGTTATTTTAAATCATATTATACCGTTTTAATATTCTTATATACTAGTTCACAATTTAAAGGTATACACTACTCCTGAATATATATTGGATTATTCATCCAATATTTTTTGTCTATTGCACTTATAGGGATTTTTTAGTGGAGTCCCCTTTTCAGTTGAGAGTTAACCTTTAGCTGTGTTTTGGACTCTATCCTAAAGGTACATTATTGGGACCTTTATATTTTTTCTGGGGCATACAGCGTCTCCCTGCAGGTGCAGTAGTGTAAACGCTGCCTTTCCAGAGAAAAATGCAGTATTTGTAGTGCTGCCTAAAGGGACTTCCTGTAAGAGGTCCTGAAAACTCTGCAGGACCAACGTCTAGCATCTCTATGTGGATTGTGAAGATGCTAAACAATCCACATAGAGATGCATTAATTCAGAGATGCTACTTGGAGCAGAGAATGCACATTATCCTCCCAATGCTTACATAGCACTGTATTGGCTGAGGTCATCAAAACATGGTTATTTTATTTTAATGCTCACAAAGGGGGGGGGGTAAACTAAATAGTAAGTAGAACATTATAGTGTTAGGAATACATGTCCGTGTTCCTTTAATATACAAGTTGCACAGATTGGGCAGACTATTGAAAACTACAGTGTAGATTTATTCCATTATATCATCTATAATTTTTTTCCAAAGAGTGATCATTATCTTTTCAAGTCCCAAAGGGGTTAAAAGAAGAACTTAAATGGGAACCAATTACATAACATTCCCAGCTTCAATACAAGACCATGGAGAGTGATAGCAGATTTCCCCTCAGTTGCTCTACTGAGGCACAGAAAAGTCTACCGATGGACAATAAAAAGAAAAAAAAAAAAAATACAATGCAACACAAAATGATTCCTACTCTGAAAAAAACCAATACTGAAATGTTAACAAATCATATGTAAACCAGGTTTTAAATCTAACGGATTTATTTCTTACAAGAGAATACCTCTACCGACCTGTCACCTTCCACCACCTGACCAATTATAGAAGCAAACTTTAGTTGGACTCTAATAAATACGGTTTAATAGCAAAGGAAGAAAAGCCACAAGACCCTAAGCTCAGCTTACCACTAAATTATCAACCCTTCATCGGGCATGTAAAATGGTAAATTAAATATCCATAGTATTTAATCCTTGGTAAAAAAGTTATATTACTTATAAATAACATCTGGACTTGACATACCATCGGCCCCTGTAATCTGGTGAATTTGTGAAACTTCTTTTAAGTTCTTGATATCTCCATTGGCTACGACAGGTATAGACACACTTTCTTTTATAATTTTGATAGAATCATAGTGCACAGGCTGATGCCTTTCTTCAGTAAGTCTTCCATGAACTGTAATCCAGGACACACCGGCAGCCTCAGCCTTCCGACATAGGTCAACTGTTCTGCTGATGTCACTGTGAATCCTATTAAGAGATTCAAAACAATAATGAGAAACTGCCATTGGCCAGCTTACGTTTTATATGCTAGGCAAGAACTAGTTGCATAGATGATGCCACTGTTCTAATGATGAGATAATGAGAAGAAGAGGCAGGACACGAGATAGGGAATTATGTAACATCTGCATTCATACATATAAAAACACAAAAAAAAAAAAAAAAGAAAAAAAGAGAATACTTTTAATCACGCATTAAAGGGACACTGTAGGCACCCGGACCACTTCAGCTTATTGAAGTGGTCTGGGTGCAAACTCCAATCACCCTTAACCCTAGAGTTGTAATTATTGCAGATTTTATAAACTGCAATAATTACCTCCTCCTCTGGTGGCTGTCTATCAGTGACTTCCGGGCTTGAAGGCAACTTATGCTTGAAGACTTCCAGCGTCACTGGAATAATGCTTTCCCATGGGGAATGCTTTCTTATGGAGAAATTCAAATGTGAGCGCGGCTCATGTGCATTAGGTCTGCCCCGCAGGCGGATGTCGGCAGGGGAGCAGCGTGGGCAGCGCTGGACCACAGGAGTGGGCCTTGACAGAGGGGGAAGCTATAGTGCCAGGAAAACTAGGTTGTTTTCCTGGAACTATAGTTTCCCTTTAACACACCCAGTGTAGAATAAATATTTACCTTATTTTAATGGAAACAGAAAAGCTTGGATTCTCAACTTGATTGTGTACGGTTTTCACCATATCACTAACTAATTCAGGTTGATTTATTAAACAGGCTCCATAACCTTCAGACATTGCCCACCTTGAAACACAAAATGGAAGTCAAAGTCAGTAATGCAATGCATGTCAATAACAAGAGATTAACAAAGACATCTAAAAGTGTATAACTTTATTAATGAAGTACCAGCCATACATTAAATTATGGTTTAGAAAATAACTTCTAACCTAGGTTATTTACTAAACTATGAATTGCAGCAAACTGAAATCTGAATGACAAACATCCAAAAACAGCCAAACCACTACTACAGATAAAATGAAGAATTTCTTCAAATCCCTATTTTAGTTTTAATTATTGCTTTTCAGATGTTTTGCTACAATTGGCAGTTTAGTGAATAAACCCTCATGTCAACACATGCTTTTATAGATCCATTTGTGTGGTTTTGTGAACTTTTTCTTACCAAGCTTTCTTAGGTGGGGAATTTTGTAACAAATTAAAAGAATCAAGTTTACCAATGTAACATGTAGAGAGCAAATTATCTAAAAGTTTTAGTTTAAAGGCATTTCTCCAATTTATTTTATTTACTATATAATATACACACTCATACACGCTACATGCAAGATTCAGCACACTCCACTTCAAACTGAGTTTAAAGCCTTTAAAGTTAAAATAAAAATAAACTCCTGTAACAGATGTATCTAGCTTACCTTTGAGGACACCCACAGTTGACATCTATTCCACCAGCAAAGGGACTGACATAGCGTGCTGCATCAGCTAAAACCTGGGACTCCTTTGCTGCAAACTGAACAACAAGAGGCTTATCTCCTACAGAAATGTAAATATCAAAGGGTTAATTAACTGATATTTGTCAATATTGTTTTTTTTTTTTTTTTAAATTCTGTATTTTTCAGTGCAAAACATAGTCGTTACAGCATTCGTTAAAAGGAGCTTATATGATTTGTGTGTTAGCCAGATCGTAGCACATTCTTGCACTATTTTATTTTTGTAACATGTTTGTGTAGGCCTTGATCGCTATCGTGTCATCCCTCTATTCTGAGGTGGTTGAGTGTGGTGTGTTCTAGCTGATCTATGGGTGAGAGTCGGTGTGCTGTGGTTGCTCGTAGAGGGTCCTATGGCTTGTTCGTTCAGCCTGTGGGCTGGTAGTGTAGCGTGGTATGTAGCCTCTTCAGTACAAGGCATACAGGCTGTGTTGTGTGAGTCCCACGGAGGTGTTGGGTATGTGAGGTATGCCTTGTTTCGTATGTAGTGGCTCCTGACCATGGGAGCTGCGGGGGAGTGGTGGATGCGTGATTTGTTTGGCGGTTGCCTCGTGTGTGAGTGTGGAGGGGTGCTGTTGTTCCCCGTTATGGGGGGTAGAGCATTGGTCGTGTCCCCAGCCTTAGGTGTGATTACCTGTGTGACTGTAGATGTGGTCCCTACACAGTTACACGGTCCCTGGTATAGGGGGGAGAAACTAGGAGAACATTGGGGTATATATAATGTCCTGAGCAGATAGTCCCATGGTGAGCGTAGAGACCGGCTGGTGTGGCTGGCTGGTCTTCAGTCGGGCTGTTGTCTTAGGTTGGGTCCTCGCTGGAGCTTGTTCCTGGATCTGCCATCCTCTCTTTCCCCCTTCTTGGGATGAAGGTAGTTGCATGCGCCGGGTCCCAGGTTGACGTTGAGGTGAAGGCACTCTGTCGTGCGGTGTCCGGTAGCTGTGCCAGTCCCAGGGCCGTCAGGAATGGTGCAGTGTCTTCCATAGAGGTGAGCGTGTGTACGCCATCGTTCCTGGATACCATCAGGGATCCGTTTGCTCCCCATCTATAGCTTATTTTAGCTGATTGAAGCTGGCTGGTTACCGGTTGGAACGTTTTTCGCCACAGGAGGGTGGTTTTACTGAGATCTTGGTAAAACGTCAGAGACGCTTCCTCGAATTGCAGGGGAGTTTTGCCCTTAAGTGCTGACATTATGAGTATTTTATCGTGTGTTGTGGAGCACCTTAATATCACATCTCTTGGTGCCGTTTTCGTCGTCCCCTTGGGCCCTGGTAGGCGGTAGATTTCTTCCAGATTCATTTTTTTGGCTACCGTGGGGGACAGGAGGGTGGCATAATGGGGGAGCTCGTCCACCGCAACAGCAGTTGGGACGCCCCTGATCTTCACATTAGTACGGCGGTGGCGATCCTCCATTGCTGTGATGTGTGAGGTGACAGCTCTTTGGTGAGCCCATATTTGTTGGACCGAGGTCTGGTACCTGTGTCTGGACGTCTGCTATGTCCTTCTCCGAGGCCTGTACACGGTCTGTGATGGCCTTCATGTTATTTTTAATAGGAGCTAATTCAGCTGCAAGTATTTTATGAAAGTCAATCAATAGTACTTTCAGGTCTTGTCTGGTCGTTGGTGTGGTGTCAGTGGGAGCATCTGATGGCTGCAGGTGAGTGTCCGCCAGCCCCTCTGCCCTTGCTTGCTCATTTGGGTTTGAGTGAGCTTCAGGCCTTGTACCAGTGACCTGCCGCGTGGGCTCTGCGGGTGTGGGTTGGGGCTGCATGGGCCTCTGGAACATCGTTCCGATGTCTCTGTGCTCCACAGCCGCCGTCTTTTGCGAGCGGCGACCCATCGCTGGCGTGTGGGGTGAAGCCTCTGGCGGTGCTTGGGGAGGGCTCCCGTCGTTCGCCTGTTGCCGGAGGAGTGCTTCCAGGCTTGGCAGGGACAACGTGGGGTAGGCCCCGGTTTTCCGTTTTCGTCCGGGCTGGGCCTTTGGTTGAAAAAAAGGCATCTATCGCCTCGGGTGGTATTGGGGGACGTGACTGTCGGGTTTTGGGGTCCATCTGGCCTTTAGTTTTGTTCTTTTTGGGGGGGTTTTGCGCTGTCATTTGGAGGTGCTTGCATGCGTGGCGTCTGTTCAGGCTGGTGGTTGAGCTCCGCCCCCCCGAAAATATTTTTAAAACAATCTACATAGCTTAGTGGGGAATGGGAGGGGTTGCGTAAAGAGAGTTATTAGTTATGTTGGTATTGAATACAAGATTGTGGCAGGAATCTTAGAATAGAGCAGCGTGTGTGTGTGTGTGGTAGTTTTTAATATTGTATATATTTACAGCGTATTGTACAGCAGGGTTTGGAATGTTAAAGGGATACTATAGTCACCAGAACAACTACAGCTTATTGTATTTGTTCTGGTGAGTATAATACTTGCTTTCAGAGAAAATGCAGTGTTTAGATTACAGCCTAGTGATACCTCCACTGGCCACTCCTCAAATGGCTACTAGATGGACCATTCAGTGTCTCCACCCTTTGCATGCAGACACTGAGCATTGATTCAATTCATGAGAAGCTTATTGGCCAGATCTGTATTTGACTTGTGCTGACTCTGTCACTTATCTGCCTCTTTGATAGTCTCAGCCAATCCTGTGGGAAAGCATTGTGATTGGCTCACAGAATCACTTCTGATGATGTCATTCCAAGCAGGCACATCAGGGGCAGAGGCAGCAGCTGCAGACTTGAGATGTCTGGGGGCCTAGATAGTGGTTTTAACACTATAGGGTCAGGAATACATGTTTGTGTTCCTGACCCTATACTGTTCCTTTAATTATGATCATTTGAAAACAGAAACACAACTTGTTATAGAGAATATAAGCTGCTCTTAAAATAGAATCAATCAAAGAACAGGATACTCAGTGTAAGTTTAAACAAAGGGTGCCAATGTATACATGCACACACTATATTTAGACAATTTTATAATTGTCCATATAACACAAACATCCAACATAACAATTTATAGACCATGGCAGGCTACAGTATTACTGCCACAAATAAAGCTGTCAGATGTGCTGTACACAAGCAATGGCTCCAGCTAAAAACATGGGATATGTTGTGCTTACTCAATAATCAAGAGATTGTGGAGAGCATAGGAGGAAGGGAACTGCATTTCCCCCCCCCCCTCAATCTCTCTCTCTCTCTCTTTTTTTTTTTTTTAAATTGAGGTAAGAATAAAATAGTATATCCAGAAAAATATTTAAAAGGCTAAGTACAAATGTTGCATGGAAACTCGTCATTTATATATTACAAGAACACGCTAATACAGGCTATTCTAGCATGTCTAAGCAGGGTGCAGATGGTATAACTTTAAACGCACAAGACTAGCTAGGCGTGTGTATAGTATGCTAAAAGAAAAACGCGGTGTATAGTATGCTAAAAGAAAAGTAACAAAGGTATCCTGGAAAGAATGATCACTGATATTGTGTCTGCGGACCCAGTATAACTAAGGCACACTATAGAGTGCACAGGAAGAGGATTAAAATGTAAACTAAAATAACATTGTGCACCACATGCATCAAAGTTTTATTGTGGGGTTCACCCTACACCCATGCTTGCCATAAGGGTTCAATATCAAGATTAAGTCCTAGTCATCTTCTATTGGCCTTATTGCTGGCCCCAGGCCTCCAAAAAAAGAGCCAACATGCGACTCCCACCACTCTGGTTACTCCAGGCTCAGTAAGTGATGTCCCGAAATGTGTTGGTATAATAGTCGCACGGGAGGTGTGGGACATGCACTGAGATTATTCCCAATGCCCTTGCAACTTCCAAGTTTAGTGAATGATCCTGTATATGTTAATAATACGACTGATGTTTTCTGTTCCTGGTTTGTTAATGAAACATTGTTTGTCTAGTTTCAATCTTTATTTTCCTTGATTTTAAAGTATGCATTTAAATAACATAGGATACATCTTGTTGAGAAATCATACAACAAAAGCAAAGGTTCTTATCAATAGAAAAGGTTAGAGCTGCCTAAATGAATTATGAATTTACTGATGCAAGCTTCCTATTACTATGGCAACACAGTCTGAAAAGATTCCTTCTTGCTCTTCTTATGTAACTAAGAAGTGCTTTTTTGTAGTTCTTACTGAAACGTATTTCATCAGATGGCATATATGATCTGAGTGCTATATCATTTTAATACATTTATTGGACAGCTGCTTCACCTAGAGAAGTGTAGATTTTCATTAAAAAAATAAACACAGTATGCTAATGTTGGACTGATGCTTGGAAGAATAAATGGTATGAATTGCACATTTGCAAAAATAAAAATAAAAAAAGTTATACTAGACATTACATTTGCATACTTGTGCTGTAAGTGAAGTGATCCTAGCTCTATGTTTGCTAAAAGCATTACCTTGATTTGTTGTAAACTCGCTGTTTCTAGCCTTTGCTGATTTCACAAAATCAGCTGCAATGATCATTGGAGTGTAACATAAATCACAGTCATACTTTCTCACAAGCGTCCGGAATGCCAATCTATATAGAGAAAGAAAAATAAAATGATGTGCAAAATGATCCCAATATTTAAATGCATCAAAGGCCCAAATATTAAAGGGACATTATAGTCACCCACCAGTGACCACTTTAGCTTAATGAAGCAGTTTTAGTGTATATAGATCATGCATCTAGTTTCACTGCTCAATTCACTTCCATTTAGAGTTAAAGGACCACTATAGTGCCAGGAAAACTAGGCACTATAGGGTTATTAGGTCTCCCCCTCCTTTAGAGCCCCTCTCCCGCTGGGCTGAAGGGGTTAAAACCCCTCCAGCCACTTACCTTAATGCAGCGCCGGGTTCCCTCGGCGCTGGTGAACTCTCCTCTCCCTGCCGACGTCAGCTCTGAATGCGCACACATTCAAACCGCCCATAGGAAAGCATTACTCAATGATTTCCGAAAGACGTCCAGCATCATCTCAGTGTGATTTTCACACTGAGAATCGCGGAAGCGGCCACTAGTGGCTGTCAGGGAGACAGCCACTAGAGGCTGGATTAACCCTCAATGTAAACATGGGCGTTTCACTGAAACTGCTAGGTTTACAGCTGCAGGGTTAAAACTAGGGGGACCTGGCACCCAGACCACTTCATTGAGCTGAAGTGGTCTGGGTGCCTATAGTGGTCCTTTAAATGATTTTGTTTCTGTTTATGCAGCCCTAGCTACGATTATTTTGTTTCTATTTATGCAGCCCTAGCTACGATTATGATCGACACACCCTGAATGAAAACAAAATAGTTTCATTTTTAATCAGATGTTACGTACTTTAAAAGTTTTTATCTTCTGCTCTGTAAATTTTACTTTATTTACATATAGGTGGCTCCTGCAGGGTCCAGAAAGCTATTAACAGTGCAGGAGATAATTTTAAAATTTAACAGAATTTGCTATAAAGGAAGTGTAAACATTAGATGACTCTATACAGGAAATGTTTAGGAAGGCTGTGTAAGTCACATGCAGGGAGGTGTGGCTAGGGCTGTATATACAAAGTGATTTAACTCCTAAATGGCAGAGAATTGAGCAGTGCGACTGCAGGGGCATGAAACTGCTTCATTAAGCTAAAGTTGTTTTGGTGACAATAGTGTCCCTTTAATCTAACATGTACAAAAATAACTATTATGATTTGCAAATATTAACACCAGAATTATACCTGATCTATGGTACAAAACATTGTAAGCTGTACTTCACATATCAACACAGACAGTACCTTGCATAGTGAAACAGATCCTGTAGTGGAAGAAACTTGGTTTAAAAAAAAAAAAATAGAAGTTATGATCAGGAGCAGAGAGCTAATGTTAATGGCAGCAACTGTCACTTTCTTTTTTTTGCTTATGCATGTTTTTATGCTGATATACCACCAGTCAGCTGGAAGTCACAAGTGGGAAATAATGCAGCCCTAATGCATTGAAAGATAACTTCTGTAAAAGAATCAAAAGCCATTTCTAGACCTAAAATGCAAGTTAAAGTCACCCCCAAAAAAACTTTATCTCAATGAAATGGTCTTGGTGCAGTGGCCCTGGATACAGCAATAATTGGCTTCAAATGCCAATCACAGCAAAGGTTTGAATTCAAAGCTTTCCTAAGAGGAACATTTGATTAGACGAGCATGGCGCTCTGTACACATGCACTTTTAGTCCCCAATATTTTTCTTTGTAAAGCACCAGATTGAATGAGAACGCAAAGAAGAAAAGGAGCCAGCATTAAGTTGCATGAGGTGAATTAGGTGGTTGCAACAACAGTGTCTTGATGCTTGAAACAAAGCAAGTAAAAACATATTGGCCTTAAATTTATTTAAGGAAAAGTGGAGTGAACATAGTCACTGTAATGGTAGAGAACTTTGAGTCTTAAAAATAAATAAATAAATAAATTCTATATATATTTATTTTTTTTTCCTCCAGGACTATAGGTTCCCTTTAAGCTGGTTAAAAATAATCTGAATATGTTTCCTCCCCCCACCCCCCTTTCTTTTTACTCAGCCCTCATTGTTAAAGTCCATTGATATTATAAGCTTGTTAGGAAAAGTATTGAGAGAGATCCAGCAAAATCCACAAAAACAATCCATGGTACTAGCTTATGTATAAGATCACCTTCACAATGACTGGGGTATTTCCATTAGAGTGGTTCATAGGACTGTTTCTAAAAGAAACAAGTGACAGAACAGTTCTCTCACAGTAAATTGCTTGCAACATACGCCCTCTTTTTATTATTTTTGGTAGTGGTGCTCTAATGGTACACAAGACTTAGTGCCTAAACCAATAGCAATATATCTACACCAATAATACTAATTAATGCTAATCTATGTAGTATTATCAAACTCTAGGCCATTGATGTCCAAGCATAAACCAAAATAAAAGCCTGCGTGGGATCACCTGCATTAAGTTTAATCGTTAACATAGTAAATATAATAAATAGCAGTAAAAGTTATATTATAAGCCTCCAGCCCTTTAGAAGTTACTAAAAACACACTTCTTTGTGAACGCTTGCCATCTTCCTGGATGATTTCCCTACCCTCATCAGTTCCATCGCCTTCCTAGCCAAGCTCACCCTCTCCTGCCATTGTTTACAACACTTCGACTAGCTGATTTTGACACAGGCATCGTATCCATCAGTAGTCTCCCCCCTTACCCCCCCCCCGCCCGATATGCTGTTATTTCTGTTGTGTGTCATAAATTGTAAGCTCGTTTGAGAATCTTCACGTGTTGATATATTATGTATGTAAATTGCTACTTTTCGAATATCTCCATTTTATAATTGTAAAGCACTGTGGAATATGTTGAAACTATATCAGTGCAAATATTAATAACAACAATAAGACTATAAAACGCACAACAGAAGCAAAAAAAAACAAAAACACAAAAAACAACACAAGTCATAAATGTGCAATATATTTCTACTTTAATATCTAAATAATTTTTACAGCAAATAGAGGTATGAACATTCATGTATACATATATAGAATGCATTAAGCAACCAAATACAAGCAATCAAAGAACACCAAGATCTAGTGTTTAATAGTATTTACTGTGGCAAGGGAAAGAGATAATCCTTCATACTATATGTGCAATGACACATTTACTGTAATTGCTTGTGATCAGGACATCATCTGTACTCTATAATAAAACAATTGACTGATAAATAAAGCATCAAAAACCATGTCAATTTTAACCACTAAACAAGAGGAAAAAAAAAAAGCCTCACTTACTTTGAGTATCGAACCATGGGAGCACATATTTTAACTGGATGCTTAGAGTAAAACAAATCTGATGGGTTTCGAGGCAGACATTGGATTTGATCTGTTTGGTCATGATTCATATGTACAAGTAAAAGTCCTGTGGATGACGAGAGAGATTAAACATTTAACAATCTACATATTTGATTCAGTTAGGCAAGAACAACAAATTAAGCACTCATGGCTACAGAAAATTAAAGGGACACTATAGTCACTAAAAACAACTTTAGCTTAAAGGGAAACTATAGTGTCAGGAAAACAAAGTTATTTTCAGTGCTGGCTCGGGTTCCACCTCCACTCTTCCATGCTTGCATTGGTATTTTCCCCATAGGAAAGCATGTATAATGCTTTCCAATGGGGTTTTACAAAAGTTGCCTTACAAACGGTAAATAGGGCTCTCTTTACAGGAAGTGTTTATGGAAGGCTGTGCAAGTCACATGCAGGGAGGTGTGACTAGTGTTCATAAACAAAGGGATTTAACTCCTAAATGGCAGAGGATTGAGCAGTGTGGCTGCAGGGGCATGTTCCATACACCAAAACTGCTTCATTAAGCTAAAGTTGTTAAGGTGACTATAGTGTCCCTTTAATAAAGCAGTTTTTGTGTACAGATCATGTCTTTAATGTTTTACTGCCATTTAGGACTAAAAACACTTTTGTTTCTGTTATGCAGCCCTAGCCACACTTACCCTGCCTTATAAAAAATATTTCACTTTCATTCAGATATAACTTACTTTAAACATTTTTATTTGGTAAATTGGCTGTTTTCAGCATCACAAAGGATCCTGGGTGTCTCTCTTGAGTATATGCCATCCCAAAATCACAGCGGCTAAATGTGAGATTGCTCAGCTTCGGTGTTCTCAATTAATTTGAAGGGCTATATGCACCCCTCACTTTGAGCGCTTCGTGAAGCTCATTAGTCAGTCTTGGGCCACTAAATGTGGTCCCAGCTGGCAGAAGGGAGTCCCCGGTATCCATTTATATCTGTTTCTCCCTGGTGTGGGCAGGGATTTAACCCTCCTCATACTGCATTCCAGTCAGAACAAATTTAAATACATTTTAGAGTTGTGTGCCGCACTCTGAGCGCTGCATACAGCTCATCTGTCATTCTGGGGCCAAATAAAAAAAATGGTTGACAGAAGCGGGCCCCAGGTATAAATCGATCTTTGGACTCTTGCTTATGTAAGATGGGATTTGATATTGCTCCCACCACAATGTTTGGACACTCCATACAGTCCCAATGGTGTTAAAGACCACTATATAAAGGATGGCATGAAACATTCTAGTTGTGAAAGGATTAACCAAAGTAAGAAATAAGGACTAGATGGCATGTATCTCCACAACATAATGAATCAAAAGTATTGTTTTGAATCATTCCATTAAAAAAATTAAATAAATAAAAAAACATGGCTGTTCTTTTGAAGGCTACCACATAACAAGCTGGCGATGTGTGCAGACTTGAGAAGATACATATACAGTTGTCAGTACATTGCATTGTTCACTTCATAACATAAATATGAAATATTGGGACAGGTTTATGTATGGGTGGGACTAGAAAACATTTTCTCCCTGCTTTTCAGAATACCTCACCATACTAGCGGTTATGTCAGATAGCTAAAACAAAAACCTGTAAAAGTATTCAACCAACGTGAAATCTATAGCCTGTTTCATAAGGTTTATTCACTAAATCAACAAAAATTTACATTGTATGCCCAAAGTGCTGGAACTGAATGCATAACTAGAATTTTTCCTATTGTGCCACCTTGAACTTTACTTTGAAATTCACTTTAAATTCCCACTTTAGTGAATAAACGTAAAAGTGTGCCTTAACCCCTTAAGGACCAAACTTCTGGAATAAAAGGGAATCATGACATGTGTCCTTAAGGGGTTAAACGACTAAATGGGCTGGAAATCAGTGTATCAGAGAGCGAATTATCAGATCAGGGCACGATTAATGAGTGCAAATAGTGTAACCACATGCTGGTCTAGGCTGCTGAATGGTAACAATGTAACACAATGGTAAAACTCACCCGCTGCAGCAGCCCAGCTATTCTAGCGCTCTGTCAGCTCCAGCACACGTTGTTTTGAATGTGACGTTTCCAGCATGAGACAAACCTGGTCGGCGCAGAATGATGACGTCACGTGGATTGCTGGCTGGCAGGAACTACACTGTAGCCAACATGGAAGGGAGGAATATGCCAGACTTGGGACACACAGGCTCTGCGAAGGATATGTTGGGAGACGGTGAGTGAGAGGAACTGCTCAGTACCTTGCTGTTTGTTTATAGCTCTGGTACAGAGCCTGTTTATGGCAATGTATGTGTTGCACAGAGTCCTGACTTGGAACAAAACTGTCCAATAAACCCAGTAATATATATATAGATATGTGAGCAGTCTGTATTCTGTTTACAGGTATTCTGTGCTTTGTACACCATGTTAAATCCATTTTCAGTGTAAGCATGTTGATGTGAGTTTGATTGCTGTGTTTTTTGCATAAATATTTCTTGATTCTGTAATAAACCATATCAGATTAAAGTAGATTTAAATAGAGTGATATGTATATAGAGCATGTTTTTTTACCTCATAAACTGATATTGTTTAATGATGTGGTAAAGTACACCTGTCTTATTTTAAAGGTTCCAGTACTTTAATACCTTTCGATTAATTGATGGCATCTGTCTTTTATAGCTAACAAGCGATTTAGTTTTAGGCTGTACTTGGCATAGGCCAAATTGCTTCCAAGAAAAGGTTCCATCTGCCCTGTTATGCAAGCAAAATACACTACAAGCACCTTTAGAAACATAAGATATTTTGTAAGTAGCTCCCTGTCACCTTCTCTCTGTATTATGTTGCTGCAGATTACTCAGCCTCTGTCCAATCATATTATAGGGAAAGTATAGCTACTGGCAGAGGTGAAAAGGTTTTAAATTGAATATTTGTACAAGTCCCCGCTACTTTTAAAGGGACACTATAGGCACCCTAACCACTTCAAGAAACTATACCAAGCCTGTCTCTAGTGGCTGTCTACCAAAAACGCACTAGAGACACTTCCTGCTGTTCCGTGAAACTACACTGGATTTCCTATGGAGAAGGCCTAATGAGCAGTTCCCCCATTGCCCGATGTTTGAGGAGGAGAAGCTGGAATCAGGTAAGTGAAAAAAGGATTTAAAACTTTTACATGGTGGGAGGGCAGAGGTTAGGAATACAGGTTTGTATTCATAACACAATAGTGTTCCTTTAAAAGCTTTCTTTTAGCTATATATTAACCCCTTAAGGACACATGACATGTATGACATGTCATGATTCCCTTTTATTCCAGAAGTTTGGTCCTTAAGGGGTTAAAGAGCTTGTGCTGCCAAATTTATATTTTTCCCTGTTCTTGTATTTACATAAGGAAGGTAAACTGCATTAAATGGTACACGTTTAACCCCTTAAGGACCAAACTTCTGGAATAAAAGGGAATCATGACATGTCACACATGTCATGTGTCCTTAAGGGGTTAAACACCATACTGACAAAATACATTACTCTTTAGTTGATATAGCCCCAATGAAAATATGCATACATTAATTATCCATTTTTCATTGGAGTTATGTCTAATAACAGGTTGCAAAAGCTGGAAATCTCTTGTCTGAAAAAACTATACAAGCTATCCCTTTCTCACCCAGCCCACACATCCTGTGGCTATCCAAACACAGACTTTCCAATGCTGCAGTTCAATGAGAAGTATTTGCAAGGCAATTGCTCTAAACAGTTGCCTGCCTCTTGACTTGAAGGGATTCTCTAGTGCCAGGAAAACAAACTGGTTTTCCTGGCACTAGAGAATCCTGGAGTGCCCCTCCCCCCATAAGACACCTACCTGAATCCAGCGGCTAAGGTCAGGCTCCGCCCATGATCCTCCTTGCAGACGTCCGCCGGCGGGGGAGACATAATGCACATGCACCGATGTCCCCTGGCTCCGCAGACGTCCGCCGGTGGGGGAGACCTAATGCGCATGCACGGCAATGGCCACGCGCGGGCATTAGACTTCCCCATAGGAAATAATTATTCAATGCTTTTCTATGGGGATTCCGGCGATGCTGGAGGTCCTCTTGCATAGCGTGAGGACATCCAGCGTCGTTTAGATGACCAAAAGTCGTCTAAGAGGAGGACTTAACCCTGCAAGGTAATTATTGCAGTTTATAAAAACTGCAATAATTACACTTGCAGGGTTAAGGGTGATGGGTGTTGGCACCCCAACTTCAGTGGGCTGAAGTGGTCTGGGTGCCTACAGTGTCCCTTTAAGCTCCACTGAGCTAAACAACCAGGAAGTAATATGACCGGTTGTCCAATTGACAGACAGGGGTGTTTAACAAGCTTAACAGCTTACTGTATTTGTTATGGTGAATAGAATCTTTCCCTTCAGGCGTTTGGTAGAAAACACAGTTTGTTTTTTTTCATAGAAAAGGCAGTATTTACATTACAGCCTAGGGATACCTCCAGTGGCCACTCCTCAGATAGCTACTAGAAGTGCTTCTTGGGGCAGTGCTGCACAGTATGCAGCACTGACATTAAGTGAATGCATAACCCTTTGCATGGATACACTGAACGTTCCTCATATAGATGCATTCATATATGAATGTTTGTGTTCCTGACACTGTAGTGGTCCTTTAAAAAATTTCTATCAAAATATGCACTTTTTGTGAAATTAAAAACAAAAGACAAATTCTTCACATATAAAGCACATAAAGTAAGTGTAACTTTTCTTTAAAGAAACACATAATGTTATGAATATAAACCTGTGGTCTTAACACTATAGTGTCCAAAAGCTTGATTAATTTTAGATGCCCCCCACATTTGCAGTACAAGCTAAAAAAAGCTTTTTTTTTTATTTACCTTTTCTCCAGTGCCGCTCTGCCTCCCAATCTTCCATGACGTCATTCGGTTCTTTCGCAGATTAATCCAATGCTCCTCATAGAAGAGCATTGGGGATTAATGTGCATGCACAGCGAAAGCAGCATGAATCCAAATGCTTCTCATAGGAAAGCATTTAATTCAATGCTTTCCTATAAACTGCTTTGTCACAGGACCAAGTTTTTTTTTTTTTCAATTGTTGCTTTGGACATGCATCTAGTGGTTGTCAGTGTTTACCCCTGCAATGTTGTAGTAAATATTTATTTATTAAAAGATATAAAGTGTTCTTCAACATGTAGACAGTATACATATGCTAAAATGTAGACCATACACAGTGAGGGAAAAAAGTATTTGATTCCCTACTGATTGCCCACTGACAAAGAAATGATCAGTCTATAATTTTACTAGTACGTGTATTTTAACAGTGAGCGACCGAATAAAAAAACAAAAAATCCTGAAAAACGCACGTCAAAAAAGTTATACATTTGCATGTCAAAGAGTGAAATAAGTACTTGATCCCCTATCAATCAGCAAGATTTCTGGCTCCCAGGTGTCTTTTATACAGGTAACCAGCTGAGATTAGGAGCACTCTCTTAAAGGAAGTGCTCCTAATCTCAACTGGTTACCTGTATAAAAGACACCTGTGCACAGAAGCAATCAATCAATCAGATTCCAAACTCTCCACCATGGCCAAGACCAAAGAGCTGTCCAATGATGTCAGGGACAAGATTGTAGACCTACATAAGGCTGGAATGGGCTACAAGACCATTGCCAAGCAGCTTGGTTATGAGGTGACAACAATTGGTGCGATTATTCGCAAATAGAAGAAACTCATAATAACTGTCAGTCTCCCTCGGAGTTTCAGTGATCATGAAAACGGTGAGGAATCAGCCCAGAACTACACGGTAGGATCTTGTTAATGATCTCAAGGCAGCTAGGACTATAGTCACCAAGAAAACAATTAGTAACACACTACGCCGTGAAGGACTGAAATCCTGCAGCGCCCGCAAGGTCCCACTGCTCAAGAAAGCACATGTACAGGCCTGTCTGAAGTTTGACAATAAACATCTGAATGATTCAGAGGAGAATTGGGTGAAAGTGTTGTGGTCAGATGAGACCAAAATCGAGCTCTTTGGCATTAACCCAACTTGCCGTGTTTGGAGAAGGAGGAATGCTGCCTATGACCCCACGAACACCATCCCCACCATCAAACATGGAGGTGGAAACATTATACAGTGAGGGTGTTTTTCTGCTAAGGGGACAGGACAACTGAACCGCATCAAAGGGACTGACAAATCTTGGGTGAGAACCTCATTCCCTCAGCAAGGGCATTGAAAATGGGTTGTGGATGGGTATTCCAGCATGACAATGACCCAAAACACACAGCCAAGGCAACAATGGAGTGGCTCAAGAAGAAACACATTAAGGTTCTGGCGTGGCCTAGCCAGTCTCCAGACCTTAATAGAAAATCTGTGGAAGGAGCTGAAGATTCAAGTTGCCAAACGTCAGCCTTGAAACCTTAATGACTTGGAGAGGATCTGCTAAGAGGAGTGGGACAAAGTCCCTCTTGAGATGTGTGCAAACCTGTTGGCCAACTACAAGAAACGTCTGACATCTGTGATTGCCAACATGGGTTTTGCCACCAAGTACAAATACTTATTTCACTCATTAACATGCAAATCAATTTATAATTTTTTTTTACATGCGTTTTTCGGGATATTTTTTTTGTTTGTTTGTTTTATTTGGTCTCTCACTGTTAAAATACACCTACCATTAAAACTATAGACTGATAATTTTTTTGTCACTGACAAACGTTTAAAATAAGCAGGGGATCAAATACTTTTTTCCCCTCACTGTACACATGTTCTCATACCATACTGAGAAAGAACAGCCCCCACCCCAATTTCGGAGGCATCAACCTCCAGTATGAAGGATTTGCTAGTGTCAGGATGTACCAAAATGTCAGCAGAAGCAAACAATTTTTTAAGAAGTTTTAAAAGCTTCTCTAGTTTCTTTAGACCATATAGTACAACTATACGTGTCATATTGGTGATGGGGGCTATCACAGAAGAGAACCCTTTGATGAATCTCCTGTAGTAATTAGCAAAACCAATAACCTTTTGAATGGGTTTTAACCCATTAGGTAAAGGCCAGTGTAGAACAGCCTCCAGTTTATGAGGATCCATTTGGAAACCAGAGGCGGAGATATTATACCCCAAAAACTGTCAAAAACGGGTCAAATATGCATTTCTCAAGTTTTCAATAAAGACAATTTTTAAGCAAAGTTTCCAGTACTTGATTGACATGTTTGTGATGAGTCTGGAGGTCAGTGGAATAAATAAGGATATCATCCAGGTACACTAGAACAAAATAATAAATATAGCCTCTGAGCACATCATTTATAAAGTCTTGAAATACGGCCGGAGCATTACATAAATCGAAAGGCATGACAAGATACTCGTAGTGCCATTTTCCACTCATGATCTTCCTTAAAGGACCACTATAGTGCCAGGAAAACAAACTCGTTTTCCTGGCACTATAGTTCCCTGAGGGTGCCCTCACACTCAAGGTCCCACTCCCGTGGCGCTGAAGGGGAAGGAAGGGGTTACTCCCTTACCTTTTTTCCAGCGCTGGGCTCCCTCAGCACTGGGACTCTCCTCCCTCTTCTGTCGTCCCTGGCTGAATGCGCATGCGTGGCAAGAGCCGCGCGCGCATTCAGCCAGTCCATAGGAAAGCATTCTCAATGCTTTCCTATGGACGCTGGCGTCTTCTAACTGTGAAAATCATAGTGACAAGCGCGGAAGCGCCTCTAGCGGCTGTCAATGAGAATGCCACTAGAGGCTGGATTAAACTCTGAAACTGCTATGTTTACAGCAAAAAGGCTTAAACCTAGCTGGACCTGGCACCCAGACCACTTCATTAAGCTGAAGTGGTTTGGGTGCCTATAGTGGTCCTTTAATTCTTACTAAATTGTACGCACTCCTAAGGTCAAGTTTAGTAAATACCTTAGCACCCTGGAGCCTGACAAACAATTTGGAGATAAGAGGAATGGGATAGGCATTTTTAATGATGATCTTGTTTAAAGCCCTGTAGTCAATGCATGGCTGTAATTCTCCATCTTTTTTGGATACAAAAAATAACCCTGCTCCAGCAGACGAGGATGACTTAACGTATGTGGCCTTTATTTAGAGAATCTTTGATGTACATGTAACCCCCAGGCATAAAAGGGTTAAACCGCCATTTAGTAGATCTTCCCCTTCCAGAGACACAGGTACCGCAGAACCCCAAACTCCCGAACAGGATACAAAGTAGCACTCCAAACTACTGAACTGGAACCTCACGAATAGCTGCTAGCAGCTGAACAGGAAAAGCACCCAAGCGGCTCACACTCCTGGCAATCAGTCTCTAACAGCATACAGTAAATCCCACCAAGAACGAGACAAAGCTCCGTGTTGAGGGTCAAGCAGTAAACAGCCAGAGCTTTATTGTTCTTATATACACATTAGTACCACCCACAGGGTTTTGTAAAACAACCAATAAACGTACAATACACTCAAACACTCCCACACAAAATCCTCCCCTCTGCCTGTGATACAATTACCTTACACAATGGGTTAATGTAATTATCACAGGCAGAGAAATACAGTTTTTCCACATTATTCATAACTTTAAAAGTATTAATTCACATAAAACTTACATTTTCAGAATCAGCATACTCCAAATACAAACATATGTCAAAATCATCCAGATTGTGACCATATAAAGCATGGCTTTTCTGCCCAAAACCAGTTCCACAGAGTCTTCTATCCTGGAGATAATGGGGAAGTAATCAAATTATCTCCAAGGACAGAGGCAAAACTCCATTGAACACATGGTAGCAAAAGACAATAAAATACATAAAAATATATAACTGTGCAGCTATTGCATAAAACAGGTACATTCAACATATCCCCAGATAGCATGATTACCGAATGGCGCTCAGATCACATACATACAGTTCAATTGCCATGGAGCCAAAGTCTTTCACATAGTCTTTCGTTATACGAATGGGCTCCATGGCATAGCTATCTGGGGTATCACTGTTCAAATAGGGCCAGTACCGAATGACCCGGCTTTTATGTCTTTGCAGGGGAAAATCAAGCGTTTCAACATGGGGCCATAGTCTAAAGGCAGCAGGCGGGCAACCAGCCTCCTCCAATGCACAGTGGCGAGATTGGTCTCGTCACAGTACTACTCTCCTGTGGGGATAAGGCATATACTGCCCCCTTAGGTGGGCATAGCGCTGGGTAGCAGATCTATGGAGCAATCATATGATCTGTGAGGAGGTAGAGTATTAGTCTGTTTCTTGCTGAACACCTCTTTAACCTCCTTGTATTGTATGGGAGTTTCGGAGGTATGAGGTGTAGCGATGGGCAATGTAATGATGCCCATTCTCTTAGTAATGGGTACCACACATCTCTCTAAACAGTCTTTACCCTTCTAGTATTTCTCCCTTAGCCCAGTCAATATGAGGATTGTGCTTAATGACCCAAGGAAATCCGAATATGATGGGACAATAAGGAGAAGCAATTATCTGGAATGTTATGTTTTCCTTGTGTAAAGCTCCTATGGAAATGTTAATAGGCAAGGTTTCATGGGTAATCAAGGGTTGAGAGAGAGGTCTTCCGTTAATGGTCTCAACAGCCAGAGGTGGTGATCTCTCCTTAATAGGTATGGAGTGTTTTTTCACAATATGCATGTCAATGAAGTTTCCTGCTGCACCTGAGTCCATCAGAAAACATTTTTCTTGTTGCAAAGGGAAGTGATGTCAAGGAGAAATTATACGTCCCACTGATTACCAGAGGATGTATCCATCACACCTAAGACCTGTCCCCTTAAGGTTCTTAGGTGCGGAAGTTTTCCGGGCGTATGGGACAAGCATATCTCATATGTCCTTTTTTACCACAGTATAAGCAAAGACCCTCCTTTCTCCTATACTGTCTCTCTGCCTCTGACAGTCTAGTGACCCCCAGCTGCATAGGCTAGGGTTCGGACTGTATAGAAAGGTCAGGGATAATAGGTTTGGAGAAACGAGGTGCCAGTGACATAGCCATACATCTGGTTCTATTTCTAGTAATTTCTCTGGTCCTAAGTCTGTTATCAATCTGCATCACAAATGTGATGAAGTCATTTAATCTCTTAGGTAGATCTTTGGCAGCAATTTCATCAAGAATTGCCTCGGATAATCCTTCTTTAAATGCAGAGATCAGTCCGCTATTATTCCAGTCTACCTCATAAGCCAAGGTACGAAATTCTATGGCATACTCAGAGATAGACCGATTCCTTTATTTGATACACATTAGGGCAGTGGAAGCCTTATCCTCCCTGCCTAATGGTTCAAATGTAAATTTAAATACCGCAAGGAATTCTTGGTAGTTATACGCAATACTCCTATTACTCTCACATAAAGGATTGGCCCAAGATAAGGCTTTACCTTTAAAGGGAAAAGATCCCGGTGAGGCCTCAAAGTGGTACTCAATTTGATTCAGAAATCCCCAGCATTCTTTAATATTACCATCAAAATGTGGGTAGATAGTAGGCGCCTTATATACTATAGGTGGAGGTATATTTGGCGGATGTGAGATAATCGGAGGGACCTCAGGCTGTAAATGCGCTGTCCGAGTAAGAAGTGTACTGAGAGAGTGGGCAAATTGATCCATATGGTGATCATTCTCCTCATTCTCCTCTAGCTTTCTATGTGTTGACATAATTCTATGGCCATGTCGTAATATCAGGAGTACTAGTAGATCCAGTACGCAGATCCAGTACGCAGAATTATATCACACCTAGGACAAAAGATAACGTCTTACCGGGCCTTAGAATGGCTGGACTTAACGTACCGGAGAATTGTAAAAATACTTGCAGAGGTAAGGGACACAGAAGGAGACACAACGATGAGGGAAAGCCAAAAGTCAAGGATACCAGAATTCAGGGAAGTCAAAACAAAGCCAGAGTCAAAAACCAGAAATAAATGGTTAAGCACACGGCGGATCACCAACTAAGGAAATCACGACAGGGCACTGACAGAAAGGTAATTTGGGTTTAAATATCCCTCCTTTGGCTGTAATTGGCTGCCTCCGACCTCTGTCCCCAAAATGTGCGTGCGCATCTATGATGTGACATTGCACGCACATTGGCGTCATCTTTGGTGTGGGTGAAGGTAAGTCTATTTATTATACAAATTTGAACCGCAGCGGTCGACACTCCTAAGAGCTTCGCACCCGCTGGGGACTGGACCAGAGTGAGGTCGGGCAGTGATCTGCCGCGAACAAGGTAGGTAAAATTTGTCTCTGTCGGTGTGGTTGCTTACTTTATGTGCAACCACGCCGGCAGAATCACTGGGAGCCGTGACACATACTTTATAAATAGACACCTCTAGAGGATACCTGGTTGCAGGGATTCTCCATGGCATATTGTAGGGACTATATGAATACAAAAATATCTTTAGTCTAATAAAGTGATTTTGATGTATAGACCATGTCCCTGCTGCGTAACAGCTCAATTCTCTGTCATTTAGGTGTTACATAACTTTTATGTGTAACGTTTATGCAGCCTTAGTTACACCTCCCCTGCATGTGACCTACACAGTCTACCCACACATTTCCTGTAAAGGGAGATGGAATGTTTAAACTTCCTTTATAGCACATCTGTTTAATTTAGAATTTCTTATTTCATGCACTGTTAATAGCCTGCTACAACCTACAGGAGCCTCCTGAGTGTGATTAAAGTTTAATTAACAGAATAAAACTTCTAAAGTAAACACACTTTTTTCTGTCAGATCTGATTGAAAATTAAAGAGACACTATAGTCACCTAAACAACTTTAGCTTAATGAAGCATTTTTAGTGTATAGATCATGCCTCTCAGGTTTTACTGCCATTTAGGAGTTAAATCACTTTGTTTTTGTTTATGCAGTCCTTGCCACACCTCCCCTGGCTATGATTGATACAGCCGGCATGAAAAAAAAAAACTGTTTCACTTTCAATCAGATGTGATTTACCTTAAACAATTTTATCTCTTGCTCTGTAAATTGAACTTTAATCACATACAGGAGGCTCTTGCAGGGTCTAGCAAGCTATTAACATATCAGGGGATAAAACCATCTAAATTAAACAGAACTTGCAATAAACAAAGGATAAACTTTAGATGACTCTTTACAGGAAGTGTTTAGGAAGGAGGTGTGACTAGGGTTCATAAACAGTGATTTAACCCCTAAACGGCAGAGAATTGAGCAGTAAGGCTGCAGGGGCATGTTCTATATACCAAAACTGCTTCATTAACCTAAAGTTGTTTTGGTGACTATAGTGTCCCTTTAAACCATTTTTCATGTTAAATGTGTGAGTCACTGCCAGGGAAGGTGTGTCTAGGGATGCATAAACAGAAACAAAGTGATTTAACTCCTAAATGTTAGAGAATTGAGCAATGAGACTGCTGTGGCATGATATATACAACAAAACCACATCATTAGACATAAGTTGTGTTGGTGCTTAGAGTATACCTTTAACCCCTTAAGGACCAAACGTCTAGAATAAAAGGGGATCATGACATGTCATGTGTCCTTAAGGGGTTAAAATGGGCTTCTTTGGCATGCATTTCATTCAGGGAGATTAATTATGTATCCAGAGAAAGGGAGAGATAAGTGCACCCTGTCATGACTGCATACTTCTCTCTGCCACTTTATTAAGTTATGAATTAGCATGCTGTATGTCCTAATGTCTGACAAAGAGGGAGAGAGTATACTGGCAGGCTGATCAACTGCCTATAGAGGCAGCACGACAGGCACAAAGTAAAAAATTATCTCCAGAATGAAACACTTTAAAAAGAAAAACTGCCAGGACAGGTTCTTTGCACCATGACCACTTCAGTAAGATGAAGTGGTTAAGGTGCTTAGAGTGACCTTTATTATGATAGAACTGTTTTTAGCTTTGGTAGATACCATGTTAATGAATATCACCAGTAGTACTTTATAATCTTGTTTTTGTAGCTTATGTGTACATTTGTATTTATTTCAGAGTGCTACACTGATTTTCTGAGAGACGATTTTGATGTTAAAACGTATACTTCTCAATCCATCCATCAAGCCGTGATAGCTGAACAGCTAGCAAAACTTGCCCAAGGCATTAGTCAACTAGATAAAGAGCTTCACGTACAGGTAATCCAGTTAGTCAGTCAGTCTTGTTAAAATCTGTATAAAAAATGTCAAAGTCACCTGTAATCCCTGAATGACCTGTGACCTGTTAATTGTAGACCATATTCCTGTAGATATTTAATGCTCTGAATGCACTGTATCAAGAATAAAAAGGTAAAAATAACTTTATGTATTATTTTTAGACCCAGTATGGACTGATGAAGTTTAAGGACGGTAGGGTGCCAGAGGCCTCCCCCAGAATTTTACTCCTCCCTATACCATACAGAGAACCTCATTCAATATGAAGAGGGTAGCATAATATAGAGACGCTTGTACAATAAAACAAGTTAGGCTCCACATAAAGATATCTACAACATATATTGCAGAGTACAATGCAGAGATAACCATACCACAAACATGAGGATAGTAGAGATACAATACACAAAGCTAGGCACAATACAAAGCTACCTATACAATTAACAGAGCTGGGTAGACTACAGAGATACCTATGCAACATATATTGCTGAGCAAAATACTGAGACATAACATACAAAGCTGGGTACAATAAGGAGATACTCATAACTATCTAACATAGCTAGGATCATTGTAATGGATTACACAGGGCTGTAATACAGAGATCCCCACACAGTGCATGTCTCTGTAATATACACAGTGAAAATTACAGTGAGAGGCGCCTCTAGCGGCTGTCAAGGAGACAGCTTCGCCCAGCCCTGTCTGCAGGACAGTATTTGGCTGTTCTGGATCGTAGAGCATCAGGGGAATACTGTTGCAATTTGATGCCTCCCTAATATGTTTTTTGTTGTTGTTTTCATTTTGAAATTATCTTGTAGGTAGTTGCCAGACATGAAGATCTTTTGGCTCAAGCAACAGGAATTGAGTCTTTAGAAGGTGAGCTATTTAAAAGGTTTTTGTCATGCCTACCTCGCTAGGTATTACTATGTATTAATCTTTCAAAAGGGATACACTTATAAGTCTTCACTGACAGTAAATGTAATCTAATTTTTTCAGTTGCAGTGCTTTAAAGGGACACCCCACTGCCCAAATACAAAATAAATAAAAATCACTGTTTAGTAGATGTACCCAAAATGAAAACCTGCATGCATTTAAATATGCATGTTTTTCATTGGAGTTATGTCTAAAAACAGCTTGCAAAAACTGCAGATCTCTGGTTTGCTGCCTTTGCAAGCCCTCCTCTTCTAACCCCGCCCAGACTTTCTGTGACTGTTCAATCACAGACAGTGCTCCTCAATGAGAAGTCTTTACATAAAAACATAGAATGTGATGGCAGATAAGAACCATTCGGCCCATCTAGTCTGCCCAATTTTCTAAATACTTTCATTAGTCCCTGGCCTTATCTTATAGTTAGGCTAGCCTTACTCAATTGACTACAACCCTCTGTTGCCTGTCAATCAGCCACTGCCTAACCCATTCAACAATATTGGAACCCAAATCCAAAATTGCAGTTTATTGATAAGCCTTCTAAGTGCAACAGTGTCAAAACATCTAGGTAATTAACCCCTTAAGACCGGAGGGCGTACTATTACGCCCTATTCTAAGCGGCTCTAAACGCCGCCGGGCGTAATAGTACGCCCTCCGGTCTTTCTTTACTTACCCGGTTGCTGGCGATCGCGGTGGGGGGGACTCCCAGGGAGCCCCCCGCGGCACGTCCGTCCTCCTCGAAGCCCCCCGGCCATGTGAGAGTGGGGTCCTTGCGAGGACCCCACAATCACATGGCCGGGGGTAGCTGCCTCCTGCATTGCCAGCAGGGGGGCTGCCTGTAATGACAGGTGGTCCCCCTGCTGGCTGAAAATAAAATTAAAATAAATAAATAGTGTAAAAAAAATAATATATACTTAGATTATATATATATATATATATATATATATATATATATATATATATATATATATATATATATACACACACGTACACCGTCTAGATGTATTTTACTATTAATATATATATAATTATATATATATATATATATTAATATCAAATTACACGTAGACTGATACTGATTAAATATATATATAATTATTGTTATATATATATTTATATATAATATAAAAAAAATAAAAATGTAAATACGTTAAAAAATAAAATTAAAAAAATAATTAAAAATAAATAATTAAAAATATATAGATGTGTGTTATTTCGTTCTAACTGTATTGTGATATTAATATATATATATATATATATATATATATATATTTATATCAAAATACACGTAGAACAAAATAATATATATATCTATATACATAAATATATACGTATATATCACTAAATATATACCTATATATAAATAAAAATATTTAAAAAAAATTATATAGATAGATATATACATATATATACACATACGTGTATATATATATACATATATTAATTCTACATATATATTTATGTAATATTTTTACATAATTCGGTATCTTAATTAATTACAATTAGCAGGACCTGCCTGACAACCCATGCCAAAAGTAAAGGGAATTTAATTTGCTAGCACTATATTTAACCTGCGGGTCTTCTAGAGATTAAAACTTAGAAGGTAATAGCTGAGATTTCGCTTGAATATTAGTGTTTCAAAACAGTAAAATGTATTACAACGATGATATCGCCAGTAAAAGTGACGTTTTTTGCATTTTTCACGCACAAACAGCATTACACGGACAATATTATTGCTGTGATACTTTTTACTGTTTTAAAACACAAATATTTGTGTTCAGCGAAGTCTCCCGAGTACAACAGTACCTCTCATGTACAGGTTTTATGGTGTGTTCAAAAGTTACAGCGTCAAATATAAGAAGCTTGCTTATTATTAGAAATTTCGGCTAGAGTTACGCTGTTTCGGTAGTCTTCAAGAATGAAAATTACCCCTATGATGGCATACCATTTGCAATAGTAGACAACCCAAGGTATTGCAAACAGGGTATGTCCAGTCTTTTTTAGTAGCCACTTAGTCACAAACACTGGCCAAAAATGGCGTTTTTTGCATTTTTCACACACAAACAAATACTAACGCTAACTTTGGCCAGTGTTTGTGACCAAATGGCTACTAAAAAAGACTGGACATACCCCATTTGCAATACCTTGGGTTGTCTACTATTGCAAATGGTGTGCCATTATGGGTGTAAATTTCATTCCTGGGCTACTATACAGTCTCAAACGCAACGTAACCAATCTGGCGAATTTAAATTTCAAATGTAACGCGGCTATAATTGACCCCAACTTCCCAAAACGTATAAAACCTGTAAAGGTATAAAGTAATTCGTCTACACTGAGACTCTTACTGAATACAAAATATGCAAAACAAAATGCAAACAGTATTATGACATTGACCATTAAACAATGAACTAAAAATTCGGGAAAACTGTGATTTTCTCCCATTTTTTTCATATTAAATTATGTTTCATAGCTAAATATTTGATATTAAATGAAAGCCCTGTTTCCCTGAATAAAATGATATATAATAAGGGTGGGTGCATTTACTATGAAAGAGGTGAATTACGGTTGGACAGACATGTAGCGCAAATGCCAGGTTTTGTTTACATTTTGTTTTGTTCACAACGTGTACATTTGGCTCCGTCCTTAAGGGGTTAATGTCTGATCTATTATTTTAGTTAACCAATCAAAAAAAATCAATAAGATTTGTTTGGAGGGGGAGCGTTGCCTAACCCATGATCAAGATGGCAGCTTAAGAGCTGAGCTCCGTGCCACACAGTTTCAATAAGCGTATCTTCCCAGCCAGTTTAGCCTCAATGGGTCTGGCTCCCAAACTGGCAGAGGGGGAGGGACACGAAAAATAAATAAAAACATGAAAAATAAATTTAAAAAAGGATAATAGTAACACAGAGGAATCAGAATAGGACATGAGAATACAGCAAACGTTTACACAGGCACGTTAATAATAATGCCTATGATCAGTCACCCTCCTACTTGCCTATTGAGTTAGGCTGCTATCATAGGAAGGGGGGCTGGGTACTGGTTGACTAATGCAACAGCTACTCGCTATGCTTCATCAGGGGGTTCTGGGGGTGTCTCGGATGTGTTGGTAATGATTTATTGGCTCCACAATGCTAACACTAATTTAACCACCTTCACCCAAATGTGTCAGGACTGCTAAGCAACATCATGTTATTCCAAAACCTGTTCTATAAGTTCATACGCTGATACCACGGGCGATTCTGCCCTCGCTGCTACGCATGGTCGAGAGGAGGGGTGGGCCCCGGGCTTGGCCGGTTGTCCGCCTAGGCATTAGGTCGGCTCAGCTCTCCCTCGTTCATGGGCTCCCTGTCGCCCTGCGTCCATAAGCTCCCTCGCCACAAAGCACAAAAATGACATATCAACCTGACACGCTTAAAGTAGTTACATAAAACTGCAGGGATCTCAACATACCAGAACGTAGATTCCATTTACTACGTGACCTACATAGCAACCACATCTCCATAGCTTCTCTTCAAGAAACTAATTTCATAGCAATCGCCCCTCCCACACAGACACTACCCGTTGAACTACTTCTGTAACCACCCCAAAGCTCAGGAGTGGCCATATTTGTAGAAGCAAAATTACAGTTCATGGAGTTGAATAGGGTGGTCGACCCAGAGAGCAGGCACCTCTTTGTGAAGGGTGATGTAATGGGCAGTAGGTACACCTTACCAAATGTGTACGCGCTGAACCACAACCAATCCCTCTATATGTGCGCAGTACTTGCTAAATTGTCCACTTTTACTAAAGGGATCCTAGGCGGGGATTTCAACATCCCAATGTGCCCCATTCTGGACTTCTCCTCCAGACACAGCAGCGTTCCTCAGAGTGCCCTAAGAAGCATACATCAGTCCCTCCGCACACTCCGACTGATAGACTGCTGGAGAGCCAAAATCCCCTCAACTAAGGATTACACTCACTACTCGGCTATCCACAAAATGTACTACCGCATAGACTTCCTGTATCTTCAACTGGAAAACTGTGGTGAAAGTAACCTTGCCACTTGTACTTGGAGGGGCCTGCTTGCCAGCCTCCTGCCCACAGACTATGGACCCTGTAGGGAAACCTGTGAGAGATTACTGAACTTGACCGACTTTTAGCACTGATTTCCCTGGAATTGTTTTGGGCATAGGACCATGTGCACGGTCGGTCAAAACTATGACTTCCAGGAAATTCCTGATTTTTGGATATGTTGTGCACCCAGATCGGGGCTATCAGGGGATGTAACTTTTATGGGGTTTTATGTGTTTTTAAGGTACTTTTTGGGGTTTCATAAAATTGTATGTTTTTCTGTGTTTGGATATAATTGAGTTAGATTAGAACAGTTCCTGATTGAATTATCTCCTAAACACAGAGGATAGATTCTATTGTTTGTGTATGGGAGTGTCTCACTGTATGACTCTGTTTTATTAGTTTATTCACTTTGTGTCCCTGTGCCCAACAAGGTCCACCTGGGTGTCACTCTTGTTGGGAAACTTGCATAAAAGGCTATTCCAGCTTACACTCAAACTGTGTGTCATTATTGGAGGGAAAGAAGATTTACTCCTGTGTCTGCTGTTCCAGCTTGCAGGGGATTCAACAGGGAAAGTTTTTGTAAGGACTAGAGCTAATTCCCCATTCGGCTCCAGGAAGGAGCGGTTCCAGGGCCCCAGTCAAGCCACGGCGACTGTGGGCAGAAGTGCTGCAGATTGTCCTCTGTTCCAGCGTGGAAGTGGTCCTTGGCCGAGGGCCGAGGGGTACAATCACAGCTTCGACATGCAATACTGTGCCTCCCTAGGCAATACGGCGTGTTAGCCTTACCAGATTTCCGTAAATACCACCAGGCTGCTGCCTTACAGAGTGTCGTGGAATGGCACTCACACCTCAAACGGAAGCGTTGGCGTTGGATAAATGGAAGCATGGAATACTCACTGATCGCGTCAATATGGAACTTCACACATACATTGCTGGAGAGGCACGACCCAACATGTCCAGCAGTTCAGACTCTAAAAATTTGGAACCGAATTCGGGATACGCCACACGTCTCTCCCAAACCGAGTCTGTTGATACCAGTGACGAACAACCCCCTGCTGGGGGGAGGGCTGCCGCATAGCACATTCGAATTCCTGAACAAAACTAGAAACAACTACTCAAAGCCCTGCAAAACGCAGGTTTAAAACAATTACTGGAACTGCTAGCAGGCACACCTCCCACATCCATGCAGTGGTTCCTATATTCCCAACTGCAACACTTTTATAACACACTTCCTAACAAAGTGGAGTTACACTGCAAACTTACCTGGTTTGAACACCTATGCATGGACAAAACACAACTCGACAAACCTTGGTATTTGCAAGGAAGGTGCTCTGAATTGTCTTATTGACAGGCAGAGGGTTGTAACCAGGTAAATTTTTAAAACTTCCTATTTTAATTGAAATCTACACTTATTGTGAAATGAAAAATATATTTAATGACTAGTGTGCATTAAAAAAAAAAAGTAGAAGGTAGGTAAATAGAACAGGAAAAAGCTAATTATTATTAGGAGTAGGTTCATTTTAACCAGTGTTAATTTTGTCGACTTACCATTTTCGTCAGATTTAGTCAACTAAAATTTTTTACATTTAGTCGACTAAAACTAGACTAAAACTAAAACAATTTAGAAGACTAAAATGGCTTTTTAGTCAAAAGACTATGACTGACTAAAACTAAATTGAAATTAGTCGCCAAAATTAACACTGACAGGTAAGACACATGGGGGAGGAAGGAGTAACCAGTTTAGCCGACAATTGCTGAAGCGAGATATCCACATCCGGAGGCCAGAACTCGAACAATGCGGGGATGCAAGACACGTCCCAAGTGCAACTATACTTGGCACGGGGAGGCCGAGAGAGGGGGCAATTCAGGTGATGTTTGCCTGCTGGTAAGCCATTGAAGCCCACGTGAGCGGAGGAAATGGCAGATAAATACATGTTTATCGTGCAATACGCCCGTCCTGAATCGTACATAGACAAGAGAAACTGAAGTATTTCCGTCACAGTGGCTGAAATGGGATCCACGTCCTGAGTCACGCACCAGCCAGCCCAGACGCGCCAGGCTGAGCGGTAAGTGACCCTAGTGCTGGGAGCCCATGAATCTGCCAGAAGGCGTCTAGCTGAGTCTAAAAATTCCCAAGATATCCTAAGGTCCCCAGAAATCAGCCACGTCACAAGAGGGAGTCGACCCTCATGCACCAGGGGGTGGGGACGACCGTCGGGGTCCAGAAGGAGCCTTTGGTTGGACGAGAGCAGCCTAGGGACATTGATGGCACCATGAGAACGATCTTGGAGAAGTGTTCTGGGCAGCATGAAGATTGGAGGGAAAGCATAATTGTGATGTCAGCTCCAGTCCTGGAGGAAAGCATCCACAGCCATCGACTCCAGGTCCATTCACCAACTGAAGAACAGGGGCAATTGCCGGTTCAGTTGGAAATGTATTCTGCCCGCACCATGATATTCCTGGACAAACAAAAATCCCCAAAATCTCATGCCAATGTAGCTAAGACCGCTGAATGGGTCCCGCCCAGGTGATTGATGTATCGGACAGCTGATACATTGTCCATGCGGAGTTGGTCAGACATTGGCATAACCGCCTAAAAAGCTCGTAAGGGCAAAGGAGTCCGCGAGCAGTTTCAAACAGTTGATGTGCGAACTGGATTCTTCAGGAGACCAGTGATTGCCCTTAGAGACCGGGCCACAACTGGCTCCCCAACCGTGAAGACTCACATCCGACTCTATGGACCTTCAGCTGCAGGCCAAAAATGGCTCTGCCATTCCAGACATCCAGATTGAAGATCCACCAGCAGAGTTCGTCTCTCGTCGCCGCATACAGAGAGATGCGATCTCCATATGATAGGCCTCTCCGCAAGGGCAAAATCTTGAGGTGCTGAAGGGTACAGTAGTGCAAGGGTCCAGGCACCTGGACCAACGCCGTCACGAGGCCAATCACACAAGCCAATTGTCTCAGGGAAATCAGACGATGAGACAGGGTCTGACGGATCTCCCTCCTGATGGAGCGAACTTTGGAGGCAGGTAGATTCAAGGTCTCGTTGATCGAGTCGATCAAGAATCCCAGAAACTCCATCTTTCTTGCTGGGGTCATTTGTGACTTCTCCCAATTTATGAGGAAACCAAGCTGAGAGAGGAGGTCCATGGCCCACCGTAGAAGGAGCCGAAGGGTGTCCGGATCCTGGGACAGGTACATTATCAGTTGGACGAGCCCGCAGCAGAGCCATAACAGATTGAAACATCTTGATGAAGCACCAAGGCGCCGATGAGAGGCCAAAAGGCAGGCAAGTAAACCGCCACCAAGTCCCTTGAGTCTGTGTTGATGGGAACTGTGAGGTAGATGTCTTTGAGGTCCAGCTTCACCATCCAATCTGCGGTGAGGAGTAAATCACGTAGAAGGTGGATCCCGTTCATTTTGTAGTGCCTCTAGCACACCAGGGCATCAAGGAGGTTGTCCGCCCTTTTTCTGAAACAGAAATATGTTGCTCATATATGCATGAGCGGTTGGACATGCGGGTTCTATCGCCCCTTTGAGGTGTAATTCCTTCAGTTCTGCATTAACCATGTGCAGGTTGGACCTGCAGAATACAAAAGGATGGGAAGGACACAACTGCATAGGGGTCATTACAAATTCTATGCGGTACCCTCGGCCTGTCTGGAGGACCCAGGTGTCCAAGGTGACAGAGGACCAAATTTTAGAAAAATAGATGGTGACTCACCAACGAACGGTCTAGATGAGGACGATCCTCTGGAACACCAGGGATGACCCCTATGTAGAAAGTGTAACGAGAATATACCCCTACACGCAGGATCCAGCTAAACAGAGGCAAATACAGAGGAGAGATACGTCTACCGGACCTTAGAATGGCCGGACTCGACGTATATGAGAGGAGACAGAGCCAGGAACAAACCGAGGTCAAGGGCACAGAGAGACAGCGTAAACTAGGACAAGCCGGGGTCTGGTACACGGAAAACAGCAAGCCGGCAAACAGTACAGATAAGGATAAAGCGAAAACGAAGTCAGAATACGAAGCCAAAGTCAATACGAGAAAACACAACTGAACACCACAAGCGCTAAAGGGAACTGAAACAGAAACCACGATAGGGCAACGAGCTAAGGGAAAAAGGTAAGTTTAAATAGCTTTAAAACGAAAGTGATTGGCTCCTGTCACTTCCACACCCCTATAGGTAATTGTACAGGGAGTGTGGTATGACAGGAGCCAATGGGAGCCTTTTGGCAATTAGGCTCCCACTGTCTCTTTAAGAGCGCGCCCGAGACTCGCGGCGCGCTCTTAGTTTCAGGCGGGACACGTGTCCGCCTCACGCGGTCACTGCCCGCCTTCCATCCAAAGCAGTTGGATGAGCCGCGCGCGGCTCGTGCAGCCGCAGGACCGCGCGCGGCTTGAAGAGAGGACCGCGACCGCCCCCCGGTTAAGGTAAGTAACGCTACAGTACCCCCCCCTGAGGACACGCCCCCCGGGCGGGTAGGACCAGGCCTGGCAGGAAAACGAGAATGGAAAGAGCGCACAAGACGGGGAGCATGGACAGCATCAGCCGAAATCCAACTGTGCTCCTCAGGCCCATAACCCTTCCAATGTACCAAGTACTGAAGTCGACCCCTAAGGAAACGAGAGTCAAGAACAGCAGACACTTCAAACTCCTCATGACCCTCCACCGAGATAGGAGGGGAGGAGGAGTATGCCGGGTATAGCGGTTGCGTACGAAAGGTTTCAACAATGAGGTGTGAAAAACATTAGGAATACGTAGATTCTTAGGCAGGCCTAAGGCATAAGAAACAGGATTAACCTTATGTATAATACGATAAGGTCCAATGAAGCTGGGAGCCAATTTCATAGAAG